TCTCTTTTTGTCTTGTGCGTTTGCCAAGATAAATTCCTATCAACCTAAGCTGACTGGCAATAAGTTGAACTATGAACCTTAAACCATTACTGCTTTGAAGATCCAGCATTAACCTTTAATGTATTTTAGGTTATATGCACGGTTGTGAGGTTATATCCTAAATCTTCCCAAATTTCCTCCACTTGAAAGGAAAGCGGTCATATTAGGTCAGTCCATCCATCACATAAATTAATATGTTAAGAACAATGAACCAAATCTGTTTGTTGCCAGTTATTAGAATTCTTCACAGTGAAAGCTTTAACACACATACACATGGCATACTGCTGTCCAGTCATTTGACTAGCTGTCACTGAACTTGAAGTACGCAATGATGCAAGCACATCGCCCATATTGTCAGCATACATTGAGGAGCACTACATTGACTGACATCCTGAGCAGGGTATGAAGTGTACATGTAGGCCAAAGCAAACAGGCTTTAGAAAAAGCAAGGACACATATTCATCAATATGAATATGCAAACTATTGCAAATACACACCAATAGACATCAGTGAGCATATGCTAACATGCACATAAAAATGTGCATGCATTGGAAATTAGCCTTCGAACACAGTGATGACCACATTTGCATACTCAATCCCCTCCAACAAACATACAATCTTATATCTGTCAAATATGATAAATGATTCCAGCTTTACGCTACAGTACCTGTGAGTATGTGTGTGTGGGCTATGTGCCTATCCAGATAACCATAATTACATTGCAGGTGGAACATGCAGCAGCTGTCACCTCAATCTCCACAAACAGGTATATTCAGGGTGGTGACACACACACCTCAACGCAGTAAGAGCACAGGGGCAGCAGCTGATTATTAACAAATCATGCGAGTTCAGCATTCAGCATGTGCATCTGCTATGTATTTATGCATATGTATGTGTTTGTCTTTTATCAGGAAGGCATAAACAAGTTAGTCAGCTGATGACTAAATCATGACAGATGCATTAATGATGCCCCACTGGTCCTCAGTGTTCACTCATTGACATTCACATATAGGGCAGCTGTGTTGGCTGTGTTGTGCAACTTGTTTCTTGATTGAGACCTTTATAATTGCTACAGTATAGACTATACACACAAAGAGGAGAGGAGCAGTGTTTATGTCTCTTGTGAAGCAGGCAGTGGGGTGAAAACAGTAGGAGGATCTAAGGCGGTAGGTGTGTGTGTTTTGGAGTTGTGGGTGAAGTGGAGAAGAAGAGGCATGAAGAGCTGGACATGAGGTATGGAGGACAGGCTGGGCGAATGAATGGGAGGCAGCTTATTGAATACATACCCATCTGTTGCCATCATTAACATTAAGAGCACCCCTAATTCAAGCTAATTGCTAGAAATGAGGAAGTAAAGAACTGTGTACAGTTTGTGGAGATGAGCTGAAGGCAAGGATGTGTGGGAGTGAAACATTTACACTGGACTGTGAAGTGAATGCTTAACTGGGGTTTCTGCTGTTTCATTGTATTTGTGGCTGCCAGTATGCAATGTTGCCCTAAGTACAGTGCCATAGCAACAGTTGGAGATGGTGCTTAAAAATGCAACCAAAAATTTTTATTAGCCAGCATATTTCAATATATTGTAATTTAATAAAGCAAGACTACACAAATTCTGGTAAACAGGGGTCACTGTGGCCACAATTTTTCCTGCAATATCCAAGGTTCTTTTGAGTAGGATGTTTAAAGCTGCAAAAATCAGTATTTTTATATTACCAATTTATAAAATGATTTATGCCTTGAGACAGGTGTTGATCTTTGTGATAAAACAAGAATAAACCAGCTCTGCAGTTCCCCTCAGCTACATGTAGTGTTTTAAGGAGATATTTACTAAGGATTTGCAGCTCATTTTTAGAGCTAAACAGTGAAACTGCTTGTGGTCATATTTACTAAGAAATAAAAGTGTGGTTTTGCACCAGAAAAACACTAGAAAAGCGACACCACAGAGATAAGCTGGTTTGGTCTCATGCAATATGTTTTTAAATGCATTCCCTTCCAGGGATGCAAAAATAAGGGAGGAGAGAATGAAAATGTATACAAATATCCTCAGCACCTGATTTCTCACCACAGCAACAGAGGGACTACAGCTGAAATTTAACATCAGGAGAAAGCAGGTGTAAAATTTGCAGCCCTGCTGTCAGTGTGGCAACTGTTAGTCATCTGAGATCTCATTGTTTGGTTTTATGGCCCAATGACTTTACTGATTTTGTTTAGTCTAAGCACTCTAATCAGCACATTGTTCAGCTGCAGTAGTGAATAAACCAATAAATTATTGTAAGATACATGCCGTGAATCAAAGGGCAGACAAATTTGGCACCTGGAAAGTCAACACATTAAACAGAGCCACATTTCCCCCTGGGATTTGGTGGAGGCCAAGACGGAGCTATAAGAAAAGAGACCATCAGACTTACAGTAAATTCAACTGAATGGCCAGAAACATGAAACAAAAGAATGCCGCTGCTGATGCTTGTCTGCTATGTGTAAATGGGTAACATGTTTGCTTTATTAACTTTATTATGTGATTATTCATGAGCACTGTGTTACTGTCCCAAAGTGGCCAGCAACTCAACTAACATTACTCTGATTAAAACATCATCACTATTAGGTGACCTGACTGTGAGCAAGTGGAGTGAGGTCACTAGCAGGTAACATCCAGTATATATATATTCAGTATATATATGGTAAGGGTGGAACTGTGACATGCTAAACTCTGGTGTAATGGACACCTCAATTAGAGAAGACAGTCATCAGTGTGGCTCAGTGATATTACACAGTTTGTGTTTGCTAGCATTAGGTAACAGACCAAGCAAGGTTGTAGTACTGAGTTTAACAAAGGTGCATTTAGGCATATTGTGTTTCTTTCATCTTTTAAAGGGAAAATAATCTTAAGCAGTGTGAAGGCCTCAGTCCTGGCCTTCACCATGTGAGGGCCTAAACCACCACCAGCCATGGACTTGGGTGGGTAATTTATATTAGACATACACAATTGATCGATGAGCATGCACATTTGATTAATTTTTAGTGATGGGCAAATGATACCAAGGCTTTGGAGCTTGTGTCACTCGTCCTGAAG